GTCAGGTTTAAACCTAACACCGATAATCAAATTCACTGTAAATGACCTAAACACAACAATGAGAAGACAGACTGCCTTGTATTTCAAATTATCCTAACTACATGATAGAAGAAATTCGATTCTTTATATGCTGAAGGTTGAGAGTAAAAGGATGAGAAATGATAAACCAGGCAGACATTAACTGAACCAAAGGCAGGGCTGTATTAACAGTCAGACTTCAGGAACAGCTGTGTGTGGCTAGGGAGCTAAGTATGTGGACACATGACTGTAAACCCAGTACTTCGGAGCCTGACGCAGGATGATTTTCCCAAGTCCAAGGCCAGTTGGAACTGCACAGTGAATTCCCAACCAGCCTGGGCTACACAGTGTGAGAATCTGTGTAAATACAAAGATTCCAGTGCAAAGAAAATCCCCAGAGACATACTGGACCATGAAGAAAAAGAAGGGTCACTGGAGCCGATGTGGTTCACACATGTTCACAGAACACACATGTTCACAGACAGCACATGTTCACACACAGCGCATGTTCACACACATCACACGTTCACACACGGCACACGTTCACACACGGCACACGTTCACACACGGCACATGTTCACACACAGCACATGTTCACACACAGCACATGTTCACAGAACACACATGTTCATAGACAGCACATATTCACACACGGCACATGTTCACAGATGGCACATGTTCACACACAGCACATGTTCACAGACGGCTGCATTATATATTAATGCACCAAACAACAGAACTGCAGAATCTATGAAGCAAAATGGGCAGACCTGGACATAGAAACAGATGCTCACATGTACGCCCAGAGACTTGACATCCTTCCTGTGCAAGTCAAAGAACAAGACAGAAAATGAACAAGGACTGAAGACCTCAGCATCATCCAACAGAGTCTACTGGCATCTCTGTAATACAGCACAGTGCATATTCTTTCCGAATGCCCACGGAACATTAGCCGATATAGATCACACAAGCCTCAACAAATTGAAAGGAATTAAAACTATACAGATTTGCTCTGTAACCATATGGGTTCAAAATAGAAATCAATATGGGAAGGAGTGGGAAAATATCCAACTACTTGAAACTACGTGACATGTTTCTAAATAATTCATGGACCGGAGGAAATATCAAGCGCAAATGAAGAGCGACAGAAAGGAATGAATGCAATGGCAATGAAAACAACACAGTAAAATAAGAGAGAAAAGCAGGCCCAGAAGGGTAGCCACAGCAACAAGAGCTGTGCACGAATGAAGCTCCCACCTTGGGGAACCAGAGCATATAAGCCCAACAGAAATCAAACAAATGAAATAATAACAACAATAAAAATAGAAACCAATAGAACTGAAAAGTAGAAGAAAATTTGTGAAACCCAAACAGATTCAATGAAGAGATCAATAATACTGACACATTTCCAGCAAGCTAACAAAGCCAGCAATATCAGGAGTGAGCAGAAACCATTACATGCTCTGCAGAAATGAAAATGATTGCAAGGGGCTACTATACAACCCAAGAGACAAAACTTCAGCAACTTAGGTGAAGTGGACCGATTCTTCAGAAAGTACAACTACCAAACACATTGAGCGTGAAATAGAAAATTTTAATTTCCCTATAATTACGTAGGGAAACTGAATCTGCTGTTTAAAAATAATGTGGAGAAAGTTCCAGAGGGAGACCCTGGGGAGGCAGAGAGAGGCAGAGAGATAGAGAGCTCCAGGTTCAGAATTCTATTAAATGTCTGAAGAGTGCTAAATTATTTCTGTTCAATCTGAAAATAGAAAAGGAGGAAACAGTTCTTATTTTATGAAGTCGACATTAACCACAAAATCATAAAACAATAAACCACAGACCAAGATCCCGTGTGAGCCCCAGAAAAAATGTCAAGGGAAATCTAAAATAAAAACACTTATTTGAGTGACAATAAAATCAAACAATGAGCATATCAGAGGAAAACTAAGGCAGTCTGAGATACTTAACAAAATGCTGGTAATCTCAGGCCACATCCATAGAATTCTATACCAGGTTTTAACAGGGTTATTCCAGGGACACAGGCTGTTATTCCAGGGACACAGGCCGATTCAGTACCTGAAAGCCAGGCAGTGCAGCCCCTAACTGCATTAGCTCCACACTGCTGCTGTAACAAATTGAAGAAGAGAGAGGTAGCTCAGCAGCTAAGAGCCCTTCCTGCTCTTTTGGTTCCCAGCACTTGTAACAGGTGGTTCCAGGGGACCCAATGGTCTCTTCTGCCTGTCCGTATGCCCTGAATGCATGCTGCACACATGCACACCAAACACACACAGATAAGTAAATAAGAAAATAATTTTTTAAAAGACAAGTTGATTAGTGGGAAGTACACTTGAACTCATTGGCACAGGGAACTACTTCCTAAATATAACCCCAGCAGCACAGACATTGAGAGAAACAGTTAATAAATGGGACCTCCTGAAACTGAGAAGCTTCTGTAAAGCAAAGGACACAGTCAGCAAGACAAAACGACAGCCTACAGAATGGGAAAAGATCTTCACTAACCCCACATCAGACAGAGGTCTGATCTCCAAAATATACAAAGAATCTAAGAAATTGGACACCAAAAGATCACACAATCCAACAACAACAAAAAATGGAGTACAAACATAAACAGAGAACCCTCAACAGAGGACTCTAAAATGGCTGAAAGACACTTAAGGAAATGTTCAACATCCTTCCTTAGTCATCAGAGAAATGCAGATCAAAACAACTCTGGGATTCCATCTTACACTTGCAAGAATGGCCAAGATCAAAAACACTGATGACAACTTATGCTAGAGAGGTTGTGGGGAAAAGGGAACACTTCTGCATTGCTGGTGGGAATACAAGCTGGTACAACCCCTTTGGATGTCAGTGTGGCGATTTCTCAAAAAATTAGGAAACAACCTTCCTCAAGACCCAGTAATACCGCTTTTGGGTATATATCCAAAGGATGCTCAATCATGCCATAAGGACATGTGCTCAACTATGTTCATAGCAGCTTTGTTTGTCATAGCCAGAACCTGGAAACAACCTAAATGCCCCTCTATCAAAGAATGGATAAGGAAAATGTGGTACATTTACACAATGGAGTATTACACAGCAGAAAAAAATAACAGCTTGAATTTTGCAGGAAAATGGATGGAGCTAGAAAACATTAATTTGAGTGAGGTAACCCAGACACAGAAAGACAATTATCACATGTACTCACTCATAGGTGATTTTAAAACATAAAGCAAAGAAAACCAGCCTACAAATCACAATCCCAGAGAATTTAGACAACAATGAGGACACTAAGAGAGACTTACATAGATCTAATCTACATGGGAAGTAGAAAGTAGAAAAAGACAAGATCTCCTGAGTAAATTGGTAGCATGGGGACCTTGGGGGAGGATTGAAGGGGGGAGGGGAGAGGCAGGGAGGGGAGCAGAGAAAAAATGTAGAGCTCAATAAACATCAAAAAAAAAAAAAAAGACAGGTTGATTCTCTTCCAGTCATGGAGATCATCAATCTACAAAGACCTTCACTGAGATGAATGAAGGGATCCACAGGGCTGTGTTCTCTCCTAAAGATTGTAGAGCACAATCTGTCTTCTCACCTTCTCCTGGCTCCCGGGGCTGCTGGTGTTCTTCAGCTGCTTGCCTCCCCCTTTCATCTGCAAGGCCACTTGAATCACGTCTCTCTGACAGATGTATACTGTCTCTTTCTTCCACAGTGAAGGACACGATATACTGGAGCTGCCCAATCTGAGATAACTTTACCCAGCTCCACTCCACTGGTTCCAGGGACTAGAGCACAGCCATAGGGATGTCCTTATTCCATCTGCCATGTCACACCCTTGGACTCTCTGCAACATCCACTGGCCTCTCTCAGGCAAGGTCCCCGGTCCAAGATCCTCCTTAACTCTCAAGATCATCTGGCCCCAAGCCCCAGATCCAATCCACATCTTATCAGCTTGAAATCCTCAAATGTCATTGCTCAAATCAAATGTGGGTGGTGCTTCATGTCTGAAATGTTCTGGGGCAAGAGTATCTACCTGTGCACTGATTCTTATTTTGGGTTTCCCTTGAGCTCGAGGCTGAAACACAGGTGAAGTCATTTCATGTTTTAAGCACAGCCCTCCTGTGCCCATCAGCACAGGACTAACTGAAGTCATTGGTACCCATGCCCTAGGTCAGAAGCTATAGTAACCTGGGGTCATCTGTTTCTCACCTCTGCATTCAGTGGGAACTAAGTGCGGTGCATGTGTGCTCTACCATGAAGCAACAGTCTTAGTCTCGCAAGTGCCGGCTTATCTTCAAACCCTGCAGCTCCATGCTCCCATCTTGTCCCAAGCCCTCTCATTCACGGGTATGGAAATTCACCCCCCTTGACTCACGCTGCCACTGCCCATCCTAACAGGAGGTCCTCCGCACAGCGGCCAGAACAGCAGCACCACGGCGTCAGCTCACTACTTCCTACCCGACAAGCCAACTTCCTAGTACACGCAGATGAAAGTCAGAATTCTCCCCACTGCTGCTAAATGTAGTCTGGCTGCTGACTGATTCTCAATCGGGATCTCCCTGACTCCCTTACCATGCTCGCCCAAACATCCTTGCTGGGTTTCTAGCATGCTCACAGCGTCTGAGAGCCAGGGCCTTTCCCCCAACAGCTCCCCATTTGGAATACCTCTCACCCAGATTGTCCAAATCTCCCCCTTCAGGTGGGCTGTTCCCTGCTCAAGAGCAGTCGCTCTGCTTGCTAAGTATCTTTATAGCTCAGTCTGTTGCTAACTTAAACAATTATTTATATGTACAGGGGTTTTACCTGGAGGCAATCTGTATAACACACGCATGCTGTGCCCACAGAGGCCAGAAGAGGGCACCAGATCCTTAGAACTAGAGTTACATTTGTGAGCCCTTACGTAGGTGCTGGGAACTCTTCTGGAAGAGCATCAAGTGCTCTCTTAACTACTGAGCCGCATCTCCAGCTCCGTTTCTTACCTGGTCTGTCTCCATCTCTAACCCCAGCAGCTCTGTGGGACAAGGAGTTCAGCATTCTAGGAGACAGTATGCATTCAGTTAATAAATGACAGCCGCCTGCAAACAACAGGAACAAATCGTTGGTTTGGTATTTTTGTCTCTCCTTTCTGTTTCGTGTCCTGCAGGGTGCACTTCCGGAACAGTCATGCCATAATGGAGATCACAGGCATCCTTGCTTTGTTCTTGATTCAAATAGGGAGGTCTCTAGTGGCTGTGGTTAAATATAATGCTGGCTGTGATCTCAAGGAAAATTAAAATGGAACAGTTCTGAAAAGGCATGTTAAGCACACGCTTTACTCATGACTTGTTGGGGATGTGTTATCAAATATTCACTGCACCCATAGCTACTTGACACAAGTCCAGTGCTGTCTCTGCAAGTCACGCTGACTTCTCTCGCATGACAGTCCCAGTATCAGTTATGAAGAGACTGTCCCTTTCTGTCCCTGCAACCCTCCAGAAAACACAGCACAATGCTGAGACTCCCCCCCCCCCCCCGCCACACACCCGACTTTTGTGTGGAGGCCAGAGGGCCACCTAAGTTCTCATCCTTTAGGTCCTTGATTTTTGATACGGTCTCTCTAGTTGGCCCGGCGCTCACTAGCTATCAGCCATGAGCTCAAGGGGTGTGTCTTCAGCTCCTGAGCACTGGGGTTACAAATGCATGTCAGCACATTGGTATTTTTATCTTCTAAAACACGGTTTCTGGGGACCAAACTCGGGCCCTTACGTTTGCATGGCAAGCACCTTCTCCATCAAGCTGTTTTCTCAGCTCAAACGCGACAGGCTATTGATGCCAGCGAGGCAAGAGGTCACCTCTGCATTAAAGCTGATCCCAGCCTCAGAACAGGGTGGGGGTGAGGAAGGGACCTACTGTCTGCAGCCAGCCTTTCCCTTTACCCCCCCCCCCTTGACATCAAGGATAGTGGAACTTGTCACCTGCTGGAGAGGAAGGCTACTGTGCAACCTAGCTGTGGCCTTACTGAGCTTTTAATACATCCTTGTTAATAAAAATTTGAAAGTTTAATTTTTTTAAGTTAAGTCAATTTCAGAGGACCTTTTCTGCCAAATCACTTTGTGTATAAACTATTTATGACTGCTGATATAAATGGAAGCAGCTAGCTAATAAACACGATTCATAGTTCAACCACATTAAAATGTGAGCGCTGGAGAAATGGCTCAGTGGTTAACAAACACTGGCTGTTTCTCCCAGTACCCACATCAGGCAGCTCAGACATCGGTAAGCCCAGCTCCACATGATTTGAAGCGGTAGTCTTCTGCGTTCACGTTCACATGCCCATTTGCAGACACACACCTCCACACAGAACTAAAAACAAATCTTGAGAATGCTGACTCTTTAAAGACAGGGTCTCGCTAGGTAGCCCTGGAAATCACTGTGTAAACCGACTGGTTTCGAACTCACAGGAACCCGAGTCTGCCCCTAGAGTGTTGGCATTAGTGCCTGTGCCAACAGGTCACCTCCCACTCTTCCCATGCAGTTTTACAGCTGAAGAAATCTCTTGTATCTAGCTTGCTAGCTTGCTGTCCTATCTTATAAATCATCACCAATTCCGAAGTCTCCCATCGTGTTCCCTATGCACTCCTGAAGGCCATTTACAATTTTAGGTCTTATATTTAGAACTTTTATGAATACGTATGTTCTAGGATAAAGGTCCTTGAAGACACCGTCCTTTCCCCCTACTAGGTGAATGGCGAATCTTAAAATGAGGTAGAGCTCCCATACTTTGCTAATGTCTTGGCTGCATATATGCCTATGTATCATATGCATGTCTGGTGCCTACAGTGGCCAGGAAAGGGTGTCAAGATTCCCTGGAACTGGAGTTTCAGACATTTGTAAGATACCAGCTGAGTGTTGGGAATTAAATGTGGGTCCTCTTGAAGAGCAGCAAGTGACTGTAACAGCTGAGCCAACTCTCTAGCTTCCACTCCATTTTATTAAAAACAAACAAAAGTCTTAGCTATTCTTTCTTTTCCACATAAACTGCAGAATATTTGTGTAAGAAATAGTTTAAAAAGATCTTTTACTTCCATGTGTGGAGATACCCCAATAGTTTAAAAAGATCTTTGACTTCTATGTGTGGAGATAACCCATATGCGCAGGTGCCCAGAAAGGTCAGAAGAGGGGATCAGATCCCTTGGAACTGCAGGTACTGTAGTTGTGAGCTGCCTGACAGGGGTCCTCTGGATGGACAGCAGGTCCTTTGCTAAGCCAGTCCCTGCATCTATAGGAACCTTTTGAGGCCTAACTTCTTTAGATTTTACTGTTGTATCTTCCAGTTTGTGCACACTTCTCCATTTATTAACATCTTTTCACTAGCAGCATGGATGATGTAGTGAAACTCCTGCGTCTGTAGTTGGGCTAGCATGCAATACTCACAGAGGCCACAAGAGGACACTAGAACCAGATTGACGGTTGTGTGCTGCCCTGTGGTCTTTTCAAAGAGAAGCAAGTGCTCTTAGATACTGACCCATCTCTCCAGCTACTTTTTAAACTTATGATACTGTATTTTTAATATCGGCTACTAAAGATGTAAAGTATCTTTAAAAATATTTTTAAAAAGTTATTTGTTAGGGTGTTTTGTCCACATGTATGTCTGTCTGTGTACCATGTGTGCAACTGGTGTTCAGGGAGGCCAGAAGGGGGCATCAAATTCCCTGGAACTGGAGTTACATACAATTGGTGGTTATAAGTCACTATGTGGGCGCTGGGAATCAAACCTGGGTCCTCTGAGAGTGTCTAGTGTTCTTAACTTCTGAGCCGTATAACCAGCCTAGAGTATCTTTTTATATATCACGTCATATCTTCTTTGAGAAGCAGAAAGCATATTTAAATTTCTTACCCACCCAAAAAAAATGGCATGTTATCTCCTTACAATCTAGATTATACTTCAGACACAAGCTCCTTACCAGATACACACTAACCTATGTTTTGTCCCATTCTGTGGAATACGGTGTCCTTTGTCCCCTCCCCGTGGTGCTAGTCATTGACTCCAGGGCCTCACCTATACTAGGACTCTACCCCCAGCTATATAGACTTCTGGTAGTGTCCTCAGAAGAACTTCTAAGTTTCTATAGAGTTCAGTTTATCTCTTCATAAACATGAGACCGAAAACCCCACCACTTTTGCTGGAACTTCAGGTTTTTTTTTTTTTTTTTTTTTTTTTTTTTTTTTTTGGTTTTTCGAGACAGGGTTTCTCTGTAGCTTTGGAGCTTGTCCTGGAACTCGCTCTGTAAACCAGGTTGGCCTCGAACTCTCAGAGATCCGTCTCTGCCTCCCGAGTGCTGGAATTAAAGGTGTGTGATACCGCAATGATTTATATCAAAGAAACTATTGCCTAATTGTTTTCTTTTGGGCTTGGTTGGTAGATTTGCTTTCCATGCACCAAGCTCTAAATTCAACCCCCAGTATTGCATAAGCTTGGTACGATGATGCACACCTGTAATCCCAGCACATCGAAGTGGAGGCAGGAGGATCAGACTTTTAAGGTCACCATCCTCTTCCAAAGAGCAAATTCATAAGAAGCCTTAGCTTCTTTGGGTCCTGTCTCAAAAGATTTCTATAGACAGGGTTTCACTGTAGCTTTGGAGTCTGTCCTGTCCTGGAACTAGCTCTTGTAGACCAGACTGGCCTCGAACTCACAGAGATCCACCCTGTCTCTGCCTCCCGAGTGCTGGGATTAAAGGCGTGCGCCACCACCGCCCGGCTCATGGTTTTGTTGTTTTTAATGATATAAGATTACTTCTTGCTTAGTTGTCTACAAACCAGAAATCATAGAAACAGGATTCCATTAGATTATCTTGGGTACTCTTGAGAATCAACTGATTGCACTGTAGGTTTCAGGACTGTCTATTCTGTTCAATTTTTTAGTACTCTGGATCTGTGATTTTACCTAACAATTTTAGGATGCACTTGTCAGCTTCTAAAACATAAGAAAAAATGCCACTTGGGATTCTTCAATAGGGTCTGCATTGAATCTGTAGGCCAATTTGGAATTTCTGTGGTTAAGCTTTCTGATTTGGTCTTATAGTCTGCCAACAGTGGCCAAAAGTCCAGTCACTAAGTCACTGCTGAAAATCCTGAATGGTGGAAAGTCAGATTCAGGTGTGTGTCAAGCAAGACACAATGAAAATATGAAGATTCCTCAGCAAAGAAATTAACTACAGATCCCAGGGAGTCTAGAGGCAACAAGAGTTAGCTAGAAGGATCTGGGGACTGAAGAGATCAGAGCCTGTGAGATTACGTCCTCATTAAAGACAGAGCACTATCATTCCCTCAGAGATAGCAGTTTAAAAATAAAACAACATAGATCCCCACTCCGGGAATGGTAGTACATACTTTCTACCAAAACCCCTAGGAACCCTGTATGAGGTCCTGTCCCCAACAAACAAGCCGGGCACACACCTTTAATCCCAGAACTCAGGAGGTAGAAAATCTCTGTGAGTTTGAGGTCAGACTAGTCTACAGAGCTAGTTCCAGGACAGCCAGGGCTACACAAAGAAATCCTATCTCAAAAAACAAGAAACAAGCCGGGCGGTGGTGGCTCACGCCTTTAATCCCAGCACTCGGGAGGCAGAGGCAGGCGGATCTCTGTGAGTTCGAGACCAGCCTGGTCTACAAGAGCTAGTTCCAGGACAGGCTCCAAAACCATAAAGAAACCCTGTCTCGAAAAACCTANNNNAAAAAAAAAAAAAAAAAAAAAAAAAAAAAAAAAAAAAAAAAAAAAAAAAAAAAAAAAAACAAGAAACAAATTAAACACACACACACACAATGAAAACCAAACAAAACACTACCACTTCAGTTCCAAAAGGAAAATCTTATTTCCTGAATTAACTGCTTGCATTTTTTGCTAAAAAATCCATCCAACCATGTGGGGTCTGCTGCTATCATCTGTTTATCCTATTCTACTACCACACTTACTGACAAAGACTTTAGAGCAAATCAAATGAGAAATGGAAAGCCTCCAATTCTATTTTTCCTTTTGAACATTATCTGTTATTCTATATTTACTGCATTTCCAGACACACACACACACACCGATTCCTACAAAAAGCCTTACGCACTTTTACCCTATGACTCTACAGACCAATTGTGGGAAACTAACGTTTTAGCATACGAACCCTCAATGAGTAGTCTTCGCTGTGCTGCTCTCCGGTTCTCTCCGCATACATAACTAATGAAGTCATGGATCTTAGAGGAGGGGAGAGGTAGATAACCTTCTTAGACATCTGACTTCATGTATACTTTTTTTGTGTGTACATTGGTGCTTTGCCTGCATGCATATCTGTGAGGGTGTCAGATCTTGGAGTTACAGACAGTTGTGAGCTGCCATGTGGGTTCTGGG